CTCTGCCTCCCGAGTGCTGGGATTAAAGGCGTGCGCCACCACCGCCCGGCCCATTCAGCTCTTTATTATACCAAGTCACACCTTCACACAGTGTATAAATATCTCGTAACAGTCAGGTTTAGAGCACATATGAAATCCTGCCTGTCTTGTTACAATGCATGCTCCCGTACAGCAGAAGGGGAGAGGGTCTAAGACCCCTTCCACATTTCCAGCGAGCTGCCCAGGTGGGCTGCAGACCATGCAGCTAGTTGAAGATGCCAGGTGTTTGCTGGACGTTCTGTGATTCCTGATCATTCTTTGGGGGACTAGCATGTGCCTTGCACTGCCACACATACTCCTGAAGCTGTGGCCCAAGGCTGGGAAGCAACTCCAAAGCAGGGATGTCTGTGAACAGAAAAGAGGCTGTGGCATTCCCTGGAAACAGTAGACCCTGGGTATCTGGCTTTCCCCAGCACTTTGGTAACTGTCTTCCCATTGACCACAGAAGATGAGAGGCAACACAAAGCCAGGGAGGTAAAGAGGTGGACCTGAGAGGGCTTGGAGGAGAGGAGGCCCCATTGTACCCCTTTTGAAGTAGATACCAGACTGGATTTGGATTTGGGAGGAAGAACTATCTGTGGAATGCACTAGGTGGGTCCGCAGCCCAGCCCATGAAGCTGACCACATCGGAGTCGGCAGGCAGAGTGGCCACAGCCAGATCACCCAGCCCATTGTGTTGTGCTGAGGTCTGGAAGCCACGGCAGGAGGCAAGTGGAGCCCACAGAGGATACAGCTGGTGAGCACAGGAAGGGGGATGGCAGTGGGGTCAGCCTTCCCCAGTGGTTGTCACTCCCTAATGCACTTGAGGCCTGGCAGGAAGCACCAAGCTGTTACTCTTTATAGATGCTGATCTCTTCTTCCTGGGCTCTGAGCCTCCCCCCACCCCTGGAGTCACTTAACTAAATATCAGAGTTGTCCAGTTGACAGAGGCTTCTTCCCATGCCCCCAGTGACAGGGGACATAGTGGCATGGCCAGTGGACCATTTAATGTATGTTACTAAAGTCGTTTATTGTCTGAAGCTCAGAGTGTGGCATCGAAAGCAGCCTGTCTTTGTGAGGTCTTACCTCTCAGCCATTTTTCATACACACACAGCACTGCACCTGTGAGAACCCAGATGGTGGGCAGGGCTCCCATGGCAGGCTGGCTGGGTGGGGGTGGCAGGGGCTGGCAGTGGCTGGCAGTGGTCACATTCCCAGAAGCTTGCCTCAGGGTGAGGGCTTTGAGACAGGAGCATCCTCTATTTGCACATATCACCAGGGAATTGAGCTCTAGGGCAGGAATCCGCTTCCCTTTTTTAAACAAATAGGCCACTGTGGCCTAGATTTGGTCCAGACCCTGTTAGAGAAAGTTTCCCGGTGACAGGTCTCAGACTGGTGCTGTCCGGACCTCCCGGGTATGAGGGAGACTGGCTGATGGGGGATGGGAGGGTGATGTGGCCCTGTGCACCTGTAGGGCTTTCATCTAGGAGGGCTGAAGCTGGACTAGGACAGTGGTGGAGGAATCGCCTGGCATGCAGAAAGCCCTGAGTTTTATCCCTGACACTGCAGTCAATAAAATAAAGCTCTCAGACTTGGCTTTAGAACACAGCATTGCATTTGCCGGCTCTGTGGTCTCAGGCAAGCATTTTGCTTCCCATGTCTTAGCTTTAGTAAGTGGGATTTCTGATACTCCCTTTCACATAGGGTCACTGCACAGATGGGTTAAACCAGTCCATGCCAATAATTTTGGAATGGTGCTTTGTGTACTTTTGCATGTGTATGCACTGAGCGGTTTTTTGTTTTTGTTGTTTGCTTTTTTATTTGATTGTTTATACTTCCCTCATACAATACATCCTGACTCCAGCACCCCCTCACTTCCCTCCTCCCAGCCCTACGCACTCACCCCAGATCCACTGCTCCTCCATTTCCCTTCAGAAAAGAGCAGACTCCTGGTGATGTCAACCGAATATGGCATAACAAGATGCAGTAAAACTAGGGACAAACCCTCATATCAAGGCTGAGCATGCATCCTGTTTTTACCATCATGTTCATCACAGACCCCAGCGCCCAGAATCAACTGCAGAATGTGGAGAGGGAAGAAATACTGGAGTCTGATCAACTTTTATTCTCACCCAATCCCTTTTTTAACTTGTTTGGATTTCTTTATAGTGCTTTTATTATATTCATCTTACTCCATGTGTGTATGTGTGTATATACATACATAAGTGCATGCATATTTAATACAACTTTTATGTCATTTTATCTTTTCCCATTATTATTACTTAATCAAAACATTAGTAATGTTCTTTTAATGTTTTTTGAGGCAGGGTTCCTCTGTATAGGCCTGGCTGCCCTGAAACTCGCTCTGTAGACCAGCCTGGCCTCGAACTTAAAGATCCATCTGCCTCTGCCTCTTCAATGCTGGGGTTAAAGGTGGGTGCCACTACGGCCAGGCTACAACATGAGTAACTTTTTTAAAGATTTATTTTTAATTATGTGTGTGCAGCACACACACACATGAGTACAGTTGCCCACAGAGGCCAGAAGAGGAGAGAGATGGATCTCCTGGAGCTGGAATCACAGGTGATTGTCAGCTTCCCAGCATGGGTGCTAGGAACAGAACTAGGATCCTCTGCAAGAGCAGCACAAACTCTTGACCACTGAGCGAGGTTTCGGACCCATGAGGCAATATCTTGTTCTAATAAAGAATATGGCAGACACAGGTCTAAACAAGGCTCTTCCTAAAGCCCCTGGATGGTTGGCTTCCTTTCCAGCTTTGTTCCTTCTGGCCCTTCCTGTCACCCGGTAATAATATAAGGAAGGGACTTCTGGCCTCTTCCCCCTCTACATGTCATACTGCCTAGCCACTTGGAGTCTCTGATGAACAGAAATTTCTGGATCTCTGGAGAGCAGTCATTGTTGGCCTCTGTTGGGTGGTCATTCTTCCTGGGAGACGTGACAAAATGTCTCTTCACCTGTGATAAGGAACTCACAGTAGCCCAAAATAATGACACCACCAAAGTACAACTTGGTGACCCACTGAGCTTATTTGGGTTATTTACAGGAGTGTGGGTTAGAGTTTACTTAAAGAAGCACGGACAACTTAAAGGCAGCTGCATTACAGGACACCTACTCCAGCGTGGGTGAGAACTTAGGAAAGCTAGAACCAAGTGTAGCTCTCTGCACTACTTGCAGGCAGGTCCTGTGAGGTCTTCTCTTCTTCGCAGTCTTTGCTGGTTATATAACCTTAAGATGGGAAAGGCCTTATAAATCTGTTAAGTTTCAGGGACTTCCTGAGACTTGTGAATTGTTTATTTCCTTAGTCTTAAGGAACTTCTGTTTAGAACTGTCTGACTTTTACAGAGCCTCCCTTTAGAGCTTCCTGAGGCTGAATGAGTTTCCCTCCAGGACAGAATGTTTCTGTTTGGATGAAACTGCATGTGACAATCTTGTGGCACAATGGGCCTTACGGGAAGCTCCTTAGTACTTGACTCTGGCTGCGGCTTTTGTAGCACTGGTGGAGTGACCCAAAGCTGACCTGTTTTACAGGAACCAGCTGTTGCATGTGCCCCTGAGGCAGCACCAGGTGAGCTGTTGTGACTGGTTGCTGAAAGTCATCTGTGGGGTGGTGACCATCCGCACGGTGTATGCCTCCCACAAGCAGGCCAAGGCCTGCCTCATCTCTCGCATCAGCTGTGAGCGCGCAGGTTCTCGCTTCCTTACCCGCGGTATAAATGACGATGGCTACGTGTCCAACTTCGTGGAGACAGAGCAGGTGAGTACCCAGGCCCGTCCGTGGCACAGAGTCCATGCATCTCACACATGTGTGTCTTCTCTTATGAGTGGAAGAGACTCGGATGCATGTGAGCAGGTTTCTGACCATGGCTTCTTCCTGTATGTGTGTAATTGGAGCATTACGTGAAACTTGCCTCTGGCTTGGATGGTCCGTCTTTTGGATTCACAGCTCATTCTGAAAAGACAGTGCTTGTTTAAGACATGTGTGCATGCGTGTGTTTGAAAGCCTGAGGACCCCTAACTGAACCTAGAGCTCACCAATTTGGCTAGAATGACTGTCCATCAAGCCCTAGAGATGCTCCTGTCTCCACCTACCGAGAGCTGTGATTACCAGCATGCGCCACTGGATCTGGCTTTTATATAGGACCTCAGGATTGAACTCAGGTCTTCAGACTTAGGTTGGCAAGCACTTTCACAAGTGAGCCATTTCCCAACCCTTCTAATGTATTTTTAGCAAAAGGACTCAAGAATGGAGGCCATAGCCGTAAAGCGTACCACTTACACCACGAGCCGTTGACAAGCCCATAGGAGTTGAAAGCCTTTTTAGGGCAAATAAAGCATACAACAGAGTAATGGAAGAAGAAACTCAATTTTTAAATTCTGTATCAGCGAGAGCTCCGTTCTGGAAGCTTGTCAGTGCCTGGGAATGTGAGTCTGTGTGGAACAGCATTTGCTGTCCGCGCCCGTGGAGGAGAGCCGTCTGTAAGACCCCCCTCGTTTCTTTTCCTAGCTTCTCTTCTCACTCCCGAAGATGCTGTCTTGCACCTGTTATGTTGTTTTTTTTTTTTCTCTTGCTCCCTGAATGCCACCTCGCAGAAAAGTGGTGGGATCCGCTGCAGGAAGGAAAGCCCCAGAGAGGCGCAGATGTGATGCCACTCTGGGCCGCGAGCACCCCGTGTGTTCCGGCAGCTTCGCAGTGCTGGTCCCTATGGGGCTGTGAGAGGTGCCCTCTGAAGTCGGATTCAGCACAGATGTGCACATCTTTCTCCGCCACTCATGAACCTCGGCGTGCTCGGACATTCAGTGATGGCCCAAACACGGTCACCCATCAAAGGCTCAAAGATGAAGGCCCCTCGTGGGGGGCAGATGGAAGTGGGAGCAGGAGTCCTCAGAAGATCTGTGGGTACAATTATTACCCTAGGGGAGGGTTGATTGCCCTCCTAAATGTTGACAAGGCTTTTAAATAATGACGGGTTGAAGAAAGAGAGGATACGCACTCCACCGTGGAAGCCATTTTTCTTTTTCTTGCTTATGTCTTCACATCGACAATGACTTCCAAGGTTCTTTTGCCCACCTTCTTTACCTCGTCACTTTAATTTTTTTGTCTGGTAATAGTACCCCTCACCCTCAAACCATTCTATTCTCGGACAGAGTTCTGGTGTTTTTGTTTTGCTTTGCCAGTCATGAGCTGGACCGAGACACCACAGGTAGAAAGCAATGCTGACAGTGATTGACATGCACAAAGCCTGAACTTGGCACCAGGACCAGTTTCCGGAGGTCATCTTTGAGTGGAGAGACAATCTTCAGCCTGCCACCCGGTCTGAGGGAAGAGGGCCACATATTTGGTCCTGGTGGTGGTAGTCCCCAAATGTTTAGTTTTCAACCCGCTTAGAAACACTATGGTCTCTTGCTGGATCTTATAAAATACATCTTTAGGGGAACAGCTGCCCTGTCCTATAAGATGGGACATTAGGGAGGGCGCAGTGTGAGTTAGTTTCCTGGGACTAGGTGGTTGACACAAGAGGCGTTTGTTCTCACAGTTCTGGAGGCTGGCCGGCTGAAGTCAAGGTCAGGTAGGTCCGTAGTCTCTTGAAATTCCCTCGGGGATGATCGTCCTTGCTTCTTCCAGCTCCTGTGGTTCCCATGTAACTGGCTCACAGAAGCATCATCCAGCTGTTGTCACACTGGATCAAAAGGCTCAGGCTCCTCCAGGATGGTCTCGCTTACCCAATTACATTCACAGAGGTCCATCCCAACAAGGTCGCAGCTGGAAGTGCTGGAGCTTGGGACTCTAACACACTGTTTCTGGAAGGGACGCGATCGAAGTCATAAACACTGGGACATAAACCCACTCCTCAGAGCAGTGCTCTGACTGCAGGGGAATCCCTGTGACCTTTGCTTAGGGAATCCCTAAGACCAACCAGCATTTCCACAGGCTCGGGCTGGGCCTTTTGCTCTTGGTTGTGTCCTGTAGGGTATCTGGTGATTCATGTGTCCCGTTATCCCATGTTACTTGTTACTACTCAGGATCAAGGACCCCTACCCTGTATCTCCTAGGGCTCCACTTTTGGGTAGCAGCCCACCCAGTCGGGCCTTAGAGATAAGAACAGCCTTGCCACACCCCCAGGGATCTGCATAGCCAGTCTCGGTCTGTTTCCTGCTGGTGTGACACAGAACCACATCCTGGTTATGCTCTAAAGAAAGGAGATTTTGGTTCACAGTTCTGGTCTAAAGTCAAGGGCCCACATCTGGTGCCACCCTTGCTGACAGAGTCCTGAGAGACGGGGTGTCATACGGTGAGTGAGAAGCAGCACACAGGAAACCTAGCCAAGTGGTTTTTATTTGAAAACTGAGTCCTAAAATAACTCAATAATCCATTAATTGAGTGAGTGGATTAATCAATCCACGAAGGCAGAGTGCTAATCACCATTTGATGATGGGGATTAAATTTCAACATGCTTTTAAGAGGATCAAGCCATAGAGGCTTGCTGCTTTCTAATTTCTTGGGGTAGGAGGAGGGATTTCTTGGCTTCCATAAGCCTTTGCAGTCTTCCGTGTGTGTGTGTGTGTGTGTGT